GCCGGCGGCTGCGGGTGCGCAGAGGCTGCAGCCTGTGCGGGGGGGGTATACCGACATGGTGTGTATGGACACAGGCACGCATGTGTATACAGTTAGTACAGCTCTAATACAGCCCTGAGATGGTTAATGCTAGAATATACGTTTCCTTCATTTTGCAGACAGACCCAAATATAGACTTCTGCAAGTCTTTGGAGTGCTCTTGCTTTTCAGAAAGCATCCCAAACAAAATGTTGAGTGTTGACAATTTTATACTTGATACAGAGTTTGGGGATTTTTGTAATTATGATCTGTTTAAAAGTGCTGCAGTGAAAAAGCAGGAAATTTAAGTCCTCCCTTTCTCTAGAAGGTAGATGTATAGATTTATCTATCAACTCTAGTGTAACTCACGTTAATTTTGCTCCAGTGTGTTTCTATCCAGCCTTGTAAAAATGCCTCAAATGAAGTGGTTTTGTTGAGACTTTGCTAGTTTAGACTGTCTATATTTGAGGCTCTTGCTATGCATGTTTTTGTATATGTAGTGTATACGTGTCACTACCCATGATTCACGCAAACAAAATCAGAAGAGGGAAGACTTGGGTCTAGTCTGACCTCCGCTTTGCACATAAATTATGTGTAGTGCAAGCCTCACGTAGTCCAACTTACCATAGTTTCACTGCAGGTGCTTTGCAGCAGTTCAGGATGTGCATCACTTTGCTCCTCCATTCAGTTTTATCCTGCGCAAATTGATATATACACATATACATATTTATATTTATATATATCATTAGCTGTTATCACTCAAATATATTCCAAGGATTCATTTTCCTTTTTTAATGCTCTTTTGCTTAACTAAAATTTTCAAGCACTGTAAAAAATGAGGCTGTTCTGTAACGTCCCACATGGAATAGCTTGTCATGATGTGACAGAATTTTTTATTCAATTAAACACATAGATGCTAATCTTTTATTCATAAGCTTAATCATGTACAAATACAAGCATGAACGCATTTATACTTTGGTTTTTCCTTCAGGATCTGCTTATTTCATTTCTGGAAGGTTTTCTGTTTGTTTTAGTTTAATGACTGCTGGACACACCAAACGGCATCATATACTTACCGAGAATCTTTTGCCCAGAAGTGCTTTACTTTCAGAGGAAGTAATGAAAGTGTATCTGCAGCAGGAACCCAGTAATTGTGTAACAGAGTAGCATAACACTATATCATGCCTTTGGAGAAGGAGGAGGAAAAATACTCTAAATTTCAGGGGGAATAAGAGAGAAGTATAATAAAATTGGGGCTGAGGAAATTATGTAAAATGTATTGCCTTCTCCTCAGTTAATAGTAATGTGAGCTCTCATGAAATTTAGATGTTGGGCCTTTCTGCACCCTATTTCCATCAGTGCAATACATTTAAACACAGAGGTAGCTTTTAGGATACCTTGCTACTTAGCAAAGCCACACGTGAGCATCCATCCCTAGCACACATGAGCAAGCCTGGAGCCGTACACTGTGCCATTACGGGCTTGCATTGCACTGCTCCTGCCTGCCAGGACACAAAAGCAAGGCAGTGCCTACAGAGTTAGCTGCAGCTTGTACTTTGCACTGGTATCAGTAAGAAAGGTTCTTGCTTTGCTACTGTGTTTTTTAAATAGGGAAAGAAGTAGGTTTCAGGAATCTAAGGTAGGAAAATAATTGGCTTTATATAAAAGGGATGCTGAGCTAGCTGCCGAAAAAAATTAGTACCTTTCAGGAATCTCAGGTAGGAAAATAATTGGCTGAGCTAGCTGCCGAAAAAAATTAGTACCAATGTGGGGATCAGATGGTCCTGTGTTTTACCTTTGTGATGGAACAAGCCAAGGAAATACTAGTGTCAGCTCCCACTGAGATGGAGTGGTCAGAGTTGCTTCAGCAAAAGAGCATCATACCCTCAAAGAGCTTTCCATGCTGCCCCCCTGCTCTTCCTCCTTCCCTGGCCCCCTTGCCACCTTGGCAGAGGACGAGGAGCTGGGCTGGATGGAGGAAATGTTCTTTCCACGGCAGAGCTCCTCAGCCGTACTGTTGGCTTCCCAGGGGCATGTGTACCTGGCAAAAATTAAAGCAGCTTCTTGCGTCATGAGTGGAGGGGGAGGAATTGACCCTGGCCCTTTTGCAGTAGTGGGAGCAGACAAGTGAAGTGCAAATTACAGGCAGAGTTGGACTGTAGGTAAAGGGTCTTTCTCTTAGGGCATACAAGCTTGGATTTACAAGCTAAAGGGTTGAGATGTTTTGGGGAAAGGATAGGGTCCCATCAGACAGACAAAGCCCGTCTCCTCCTCTATATTTTGGCTTCCTTTGCAGAGGTTTGGATTTGCCTGTAGCTGCCTTTGTCAGCAGTTTGCACCAAGCCAGCTAGGTTTGCACCGAGGCGAACAAGTAGCCGACAGTCACACAGGCTGAGCTCCCAGTGATGCTAACCCCGCCATGGGAGGTGGTGGTACCCTAAATCATACGAACAGATTCTCCAAGGACCCCCTCATCACGGTCTTCACTAAATTCAACCTTCCACATATTTATCAAACTTGCAAAAAAATTAAAAGCAAATACCTGAGGAAAAACTTCAAAGATGCTCCCAAGCTGTCTCCCAGGATGCTATAATAAATATATGAAAGGAGGCAAGGGTAGTTCTTAAAATAGTTTTCAGATGTCAAAGATCTGGAAGCGAGGAGGACAACGTTGCAACAGTTGCCCACAAGTGCAGCATGCGGGCGATTGCCTCTGTTGAGCATCAGACCCTCGTTTCTCTAGTTCACTGTGAGCTCCTATCTAAGCTGGGGGCTCTACGAAGCTTTTACTAATTGGGCCTCCAGATTTATGTGTTTTAATAAAGAGGTGTAGCTGTAAAAGTGAATGAGTTTCTAGGAAGGTGTGGTCTGGGTTTTTTTTGTGTACTTCAAATATTTCAGGTATATTAACAGTACCGTCTTACGTTAACTGGGTAATCCTGAACGATAGCATTTTATGGGCAACGAGAATTAAATACAATTTAGGTACAACTGACTAAAGAGGCCTTAAAAATGTGTGTGGATTACAAGAATCCCCATAATTAGTCCCACAGCATTCATTTAATGTTGGAATATCGAAGCACACAAATTATGAAGGTTAAAAGCAAAATTTCTTTCCAGCTGACACGGTGGCATTTCTGTAAAGCTGTAATTTGAGTTAATATGGCATTCATTAATAATAATGAAGCTTTTAGTTTTCATAGTTCCTTTATTTATTTTCTTTATATTTTTCACAGTAACATAACCGCTGTCAAGTTTCGGGTGTATTCTACAGAAGTAATAAATTTATTATAAAAACAGACCAAAAGAGTCACCTCTGAAGTAAACTGTCAGCTGTGTTGAAGTGATCCATTTGATCACGCTCTTCAAAGACCCTTTTTATGCATTTTAACAGATTAAGAAGAAAGGTTATACTTAAATAGTATACCCAGTCACTGGTTCTTAACTCTTTTTAACCTGCTTGTTAAAGTGGAAATTATCAATAGCCATCTCTCAAAACATATTCCTCGTACCTCACCAAATTCGAGTTCTAGAAAATGGAAATGTAATTTTAAAAGTACTCATTCTCAGTAAGAGCAATTACGTGTTCACTTCAGGATGTGTTTCGCTGTCAGTATCACGGCTAGTTAAAAAGCGTATTTTTTATTGCAACTGACATCTTTACTTATTTGCCTTGTAAAATAAGCAACGGAAATATTTCACTTTTTCAGGGGAGCAAGCAGTTGCTGAACAACTACCCTGTCTACATCACTAGTAAACAATGGGATGAGGCTGTAAATTCTTCCAAGAAAGATGGACGACGGCTCCTTCGCTATCTCATCAGATTTGTTTTCACAACCGATGAGCTTAAGTACTCATGCGGCCTTGGAAAAAGGAAAAGGTCAGTGCAGTCAGGAGAGACAGGTCCTGAAAGACGTCCTCTGGATCCAGTAAAAGTAACATGTCTCAGAGGTACTGCATCTTTTCGCTCAGTGTCCACCATATGTGATCTCATTTCACCACATTGGCTCTGGCTCAGTAGAAGCATTTGGCTGACAGTTGCAGAACTAGAAGGGGTTTCACAGGCAGGTGACAAGCAGCCAGAAACCCTCCGCTTTTTTTATATACATACATATATAAATGTATGTATGTATTACATATGTGTATTTTTTTTTGAATGGGAAGAAACAGGGCTGCTTATTTAAGAGAGGAGACAAATACAAGGGCACATGACACTGATATGTTTGAAACAGCAAAGAAGGAAAATCAGACAATCCTGATTACAGTCTTATAATAAACTAACAGGGCGTTCTTTAACACTGATACGCAGCAAAATTAACCAAAGGAATATTTATAGCCTAATGTGTAGTAAGCATATGGCGCTCAAGGCCACAGTGCATCATTGGAGTTAAAAGCTAACAGAGTTTCAGAATAGGTGTGAACATTTTGTAGGGCCAAGAACATCTACAGGTTAATTACATACAAAGTGTATGCAAATGCGTTGTCAAGGATTTAACTTCTTTTTTGGAGTACTGATGCAACATTGACTGAAAAAGTTAGGGAACAACTTTCCCCGATGTTTGGCCTGAAAAGGAGAGGGAGTTTTGCAAGATTTCACAATGTCGGAGAGTGAGGATGTTGGACAATACAGAGAAAGGGTCCAGATTGAGAAGAATTACCTGTTGTGGCAGTTCATACTTTGGTTTCCTAAAACTGTTCGAAAGGCCTGGTACTGGGCTTTATAATGAAAAATACAAGGCAGGGCTTTTTAAAAACGTTTGTAGTATCAGCATCTGCATTTTATAAATGCATATGCTTATCATTTCTTTAATTAACTCATAGTTAACTTTATAGTATTTTGTGAGCACATACACAAAATTTTGGTTGAACTGACTTCAAGAATGTTTTACTAATCAATGCAGTGTAAAAAGCTGTATTTTGGTCAGTCAGTGATAAAAAAATCTTTAGTCATCTAACTGGAGTCCAGAGTGGTTATATACATCAGATGGAGCCTCTTCCCATCTAGCGTAGAAGAATCCAACAAGGCCAAGTAGATAAGACTTGTAGTTGGGGTACATTGATGTAACCAGGTAATGAACTCAGATTTTACAAAGAGGCTCTTTTTTTACTACAAAGGAACCTGTTAACCTGTTACATGATACTCTACCAGACCTTATACTCTATCAGAGCTTAATAGAAGGGCAAGTCCGTTGCACACCGTGCTGCACGGAGGTCTGGAGCGAGATTCAGGATCCCAGAAGTTCTCCTGGAAACTGAAGGCTGAATACAAGTGCATTAACCGTTTGCTAAATTGCTTTAAATTTCACCTAATAATTTATGCACAAGCAGAGTGTTAATACCCTTTTCTTCCCCTTTCTTCCCCCTGCCTCCCACCAAGACTAACAGTAAATCCACCTATAGATGGACTTTTGCTTATGGCCACTCTCCTTTCTGGGGTCCTGGACATACAGAACTTGTGGAGCGCTCCTTGGGAGAAAGAGAAAGGCCAATTTCCTTAATTTTCAGAAGCTTGAAGAGGAAGCCAAAACATTCAGTATCTAAGGACCAGTTACGAAAGCACAGTAGACAGCTCTCCCTTTGGGCTTTCGTGCGTGGGTGGGAACATGACAACTTTCTCCAGTGCCAAGAGTTGGCTACTGGCTCCTACCCATTTGCAAGCCAAGGTAACAAGTGTCTGACTAATTCTCAGCGCATCCAATTATGCCTTCCCACCGTAGCAGGGAGTACAAACTGCTTCTCTCTCGGCACTCAGAGTAGTTTAAACACCTATAAACATTTCTAATATATTCCTACAACTGACTGTTGCCTGGAACCAGCTTTAAAACAGCCTGGCATGCTTAAATTATAGCATTACTCCTTTACGTGGTAACCATTTCTCTGAGAAAAACACCAGTCCCACCTGAACATAACTAGGTAGGAATTACCGTTGCCTGTGTGGATTCCCAGGGAAATGAATTTAAAACCGAGATAACTATCACTTTTGCAGACATACTGCTGGAGGAGCAATGCAAAAATCACGTCCTAATTGTCCAACAGATGAGATACCTCGCAGGCACGGGAACTCACGTAAAAGCACAGCGCTCCCTGGTCTCGAGATGTGGTGACAGTAATGAAGTTACCTTACGCCACTTATTGTGCTGTTGGCTTGTCAACAGTAGAAAATAGAATTTTAAAATATCCTGGGACACACAATACCGCATGAGGGAATAACTAATGTTACAGAATAAATAAGAAGCTCAGTTTCCATATGAGGTACAGTGTATCCAATACATCTAATAAGGTGCCCTCACATTTAAAATCTTATTTGGACGTTTCAAAGTCGAAGTACACCTATTTGAGCTATGTCTAGCAGTTACAACTCCAGAATTGGTAAGGCACCTTCTGCGAGTTTAGCATATTGCATGTCAAAGAATCTGAAAAAGAAATTATAAAAAAATGTAATCATCATATACAAATAGCTGTATGTGGAAGCAGCAGCTACTTAAATAGCCAAATTACATGCAGTACCATTCATTTTCTCCTGCATTGAAAACTATTGCAAGGCTCCCCAAATTAGCCCTCTCATCTCATTTAGCTATTTCGAAGGCCAATTTAGTCTCTGAAAAATAGGTGTCAGATTCAGGAAGATGGAAAGAGCAGGACTTAAAATGAAAGATACTCAAAACCGAAAGGAGCACCAAACTGAAATAATAGTAGTGACATTTTCAAGCAGGTTATGGGCTACTGCAGCCTGCAGATGTTGAAGCAGCCAGCAGAGGGAGATCATAAAGATCCACGAGAGTAATCACCTTAAGGTATAAACACACAACAGGTTTCAAATGAAATACATCCCGGTTCATGTTAACTTTCACATGTATTGCACACGCTGCATCACAGCCGTCGCTTCGAATTAGTTCTTTTTATTTCCACAAGAAGGGATTTTATCTCCAGGTCCCATGCATCATACAATTAGCTCAGGTATAACAACATACACTGCATGTGGAGAAACACACTTGTACAGAAATAAAATAGGTCCAAGTGGCATTATCATGGCATCCCCCATAAGGCTTTACTTCTGCTTAAGTAGAGCAGTAATGCCCCCCTGTCTTATTTCCCAAGAGCTTTTGATGCCTGGGCGATAACAGATGCTGCAAAGACAAGTTGTTTTTTATCCTTGCATGCTTTCCTGCAGAGTTCATTAGGATGCATTGTACTTCCAACCCGGACTGGTGGATGCCATCCGAAGAGCAGATAAACAAGGTATTCAGCGACGCAGTAGGACATGCTCGTCAAGGGCGTGCGGTGGGGACTTTCCTTCACAACGGGAACTCGTATTACGAAGGGACTGACCATCCAGGATCACAGGACGAAGTCTTCAACAGAGGTATGCAAGATGGATCTGGCGATTGATGGCAGTGAGAAGAACCTCATACAACAGTAGCAACCACTTAATTTAGGAGAGACTATTTGTTAAACATACTTACCCTGCTGTCATTTAAGAGTCCAAAGCATGTTTGAACACATACTGCATACATTTCAGCTTCTCCATCCTACCACGTCCCAGTTAATAGAAAGAAATCCATTTCAAGACCTGCTCTATGGGACTTCTCAGTGCCTATTATTTGCAAATTCTTCATAGCACCCTCAAAGGGAAATTGCAGTTCATTTCATCTAGTTCTAGAGGAAAGGTCATCTAAAAACTGTAAAAATGTCAAAAGAAACAGCAGCTACTATCTCATCTGCCTATTGATAACAAGCCCAGGTCTGGACCCAGAACAGCTGGGTACTATTTGCTTTCCCTGAGTAGGAGATGTAAGAACAAATCTGCATGCTTATAACAAAAAAAGAAGTGGTCTCCCATTTCCTAACGGAAAATAACGGAATTATAAATGCTACCTTAAAATACCGCACAAGACGGAAAATTCAGGGACTTCCTTTAGCCAACTCTGCCAGGAAATTAAGCTTCCCGAGTAAAACAGCAGCGCCCGTCAACAGCAGAATCCTTCAAAGACCCAGAACAATAACAGGCACTTCTAATAGATAAAAATTGCTTTGTATATCAGATAGGCACTATATTTATCTAGATTTCTAGGGGATTAGAGTTGATCATGACAGTTTTCATTAAAATAAGATTGCTAAAAACAAATTGCCATTTCAGAAGACAGGTTTTGCTTTGTCTGTTCCTATTCTGCAGCCATATTATGTAGCTTTAGAGGCTTTAAATTGCCTTTTCTTGTTTTTGCTTTCATTTGTGTTTTATATCCGTTCCTTGAAATAGGTGAGGCAATGCGCTGGTCTTAACAGTCTCATGCTCCATGTTGCATTCAGGGAGGGGTTGGGTAAGAAGAGCCTAGTTTAACCTTCTGTTGTAAGTAAACATGGGGTCCAGACTGAGAGCTGTAAAAAAGGAGCTGTGCTAGAGCAGAAATCACAACGGCGCACAACATTGGAAACAGATACCAACCTTAAAAAAAAAAAAAAAAAAGTCCACTGAAAACCTTTAATTTTAAAGGCTTAGGAGTCTGTTGTCCCTCCAAATTGATGCACTCCAGAAATATGCAATGCCAAAGAAACGATACCCTTTCCTTTCTGCATCAGGGTGTTTCCATCTCCTTACCCTTGTCCGGTCGCTCAGGCCAGCGCTGGCATCTTTCACAGCCTGAACCAGCTCTCCTTGAGGCAACATTTCCCCACTGGCGGGTACAGGGAACTGGTTTTTGGAAAGAAAGTTCACTTCGCATTTGACCACCCTTAGTGCTACCTCATCAGCGTTGACTCTCCTGAACGTGTATCTCGTACTCCCCAGCTTTCCCAACCGCCTTGTGCAAGCCACGAGAGAAGCTACTAATTGCTCCTTTTACCCTTCTCTCCTTCCCAACCTTCTCCCCGTGCACCGGGCAGGGCAGGAGACACCCAACCCCTTCCGCAAAGATCAGGAAGGGCCCTCTGGGGTGAAGCGCTCCTCTAGCTCCAGCCTGACCGCAGATGGAAGACTGAGGCTGTTTCTCAAAGGTCAGCTTGCCCACATGATAGTTTCTTCCCACCATCTGCCTCCTCTTTGCCTGCGGTTGTGACTGGTCTCTCACAGCCGGCCCGCGGGGCATCTTGGGACACAGGCTCCACCGTGCACCGCCGTAGACAGGACCTCACTCAGCCAGGATATGCTTTAGGCCCTTAAATGTCCAATACCTCTTGATTCATTTTATTTTTGGTGATTTCTAAAAGGGAGTTGAAAGGCACTCACTTGCCCCAGAATAACTCCTTTATTTTCTAAAAGTGAATGAGCAGTTTAGTCACGCTGAACCTCACCAGGCCGAGGGGTTTGGGACAGCATCCCTCACTACAGGCAGGAGGTGACTTTCTTTGAGCAGTCAATGGTGCGTGGTGGCCTCTGGAGGAGAAACTCGGTGTATAGAAATGTCACAGTACAGATATCCTATAGTAGCTTTTCAGTGTTGAACTTACACTTTTTTTTAAAAGAACTATAATAGAAGATGTTACATTGCTCAGATGGTGGAAGTCTTGCTACTCTATGTTTAATGTGGTGACACTTGCCAGAACTACTTGGTAAAACATGTCAGAATGTGTGAGTCAACATTATACTGTAAATTTGTCTACAGCAATATGTATCATGCTGTATTTTTGTAAACATTGTGATGGTTTCCTTTCAAATGTTTAATCGTATGAGGTTAAAGATACAAACGCTTCATTTTTAACAGTCACAGAACAGAATTACTGGACTGGACAGACGTCTCTCACTTAATAACCTAAAGATTTGCTGAAATAACTAGTAAGCCTAGCTTTATTTTTAGTGTAAAAAGTGTAGCCAGCGTCCTGGAACCACTCACAATCCTCTGCTCTCATATTGTGCAAAATAACCAAATGTATAGTTTCATCCTGAAAGCCACTTTGGCACTAGAAATGGCTTTGCAGGTTTGGACCTTTCTTTATGGACAAAATTTCGCCCTCGGTGGCTTGTGTGCACTGGCCAGTGACATGAATCGTAGTCACAGACAGGCATTAGCAGACACCAGCTCATCTTTTTTTGTTCATGTTTGGTTTTAAAATAACAGAGTACAACAACTTTTCTCAGTTGTCTGTCTTTGTTTTTAATTGCCATCATGGCAACTTGACTCTTGACCCACCCATTTCATTTAAAAAAATGCAAACCTTTCACAACAGCTTATTCCAGTTAATTTGTTCATGAAGCATTATAAATTCATACACACTGAAGTGTCTAAATATCCGCAAAAGGTATAATAGTACGGGACCTGAAATAATAGATAGCACATAAGCCCTTGCAGAGCGAGATACAAAGCACACTGCTTAAATATGGGTAAGTCAGCACATCCCTTCCCAGCTCTGGATGTAGACAGTAGGCTTGCGACAGAAGGAAACTGCTATCTATCATGTCACTCCAGAAGGTCCCAGGAGGATAGAGATTCTTGTCTTATCCTTCCATAGTCTTTAATCTTACTGTCATTCATGTATCTGCCTTCTCTCAAACTTTGTGTAGCAGTACCGCACGCCCATCTGTGCCAACATGCCTTCGCTATATTTTCTATGACAAATATTTGTGGAAAAACTGTGATTAAAAAACCATTAATCCTGATATTTTTATTGTTATGGTGTAGTTAATTCTATGAATACTTTCTAATGATGATTGTACTGTGTAGAGTAAGTACAGGTTAGGGATAGACCTTTACCAGATATTGTAAAAAAAAAAAAGTGCATAGTGTAATATAGACTAGTAAGGTTTTTGTGACAATTTCTATAGGGTGTGTGAATTGTTTTTTATGTGGCAACACACATTTCTTTTAAAGAATATAAAATCTTAGAGAATTTTTTAAACAGTCAATATTTTTTAATTATAAAGACATTTGTTACCTACAGTTTACTATTTCAGGTGTTAATTCTAATTTGAATATTGGTTTTATTACTACATACCTCCAGTTCCATTTGTTCTGTTGCATAAAAATGCACAATAAAAGTTAGTCTCTGGTTAACCTGTCTCTCTCTCTCTCTACAGGCATTGTTGTGTCAGTGTGACAGGTGTCACAACTGGTTCTCCCTATAAATATATATTAAAAGTTTTAGACTTAGATTTATACAGAAGGCTAGAGGGTTGTCTTTTGCATTAAATGCTTGTTCGGTAGGAAGCACTGGCAAGCGCAGTGAAAGATTATGAAGAATTCAAGTATGAGTATAATATAAATCATTTTCACGTCAAAATATAACCACATATTTATGCGCTGGTTAGATAGGAAGACCGCTCAGAGAAAGTACCCATCTACAATCTTAAGACCTGGATTTTCAAGCGGTGAAGCTTAAATCCCATTTTAATTCAAAATTCAGTGATGGCTGAATGTCTCCTGTTCTCTTAAATGCTTTAGAAAATCCCAACTCCAAATAATTTGTAGAGGAATTACAGTGACAAACATTCACCACGGCAAACCCCTTCTGCTGGGCTGTGAAGCAAGATGGGCCTGACCGCCGGCTGGTGTCATCCATTAGAAATGGTTGCCAAATATTTCCGTTATAAAACAACGCTTTCGGGTGCCTGTAATGTTGCAAAACTAACTGGGGTTGGGCTGGTATTTTCTAGATCAGGGGCTTCAGTCTACTGTATTTTTTGTGAAAACCCTTATTAGCAAAACCCTCACCAAAATCATTTCAGGTGATTCTGAGAAATGTAGGTTAAAAAAAAAACCCTCTGTTAATCCCTCTGAAAAAAAAATATAATTAACTTCTCTTTGGAAATCTCCGACTTCCCAGACTTCTGCGCAATGACTTGAAATGTCAGAGGGTAGATCCAGAGGCAGGAGTGAACGGGGATGGGCTATGGGGAAACCGATGGGGTGATGGGGCAGTACAGGCGGGGTACCGGCAGGGAAGGCTGGCAGGGAAGGAGAGCACGTGAGTAAGGAACCAGAAGCAGCAACTGGGTTTTTGAAGCTTGGAAAGATGCCCAGAGAGTTTAGGTCTAACAGCGGAGTCTATAAGAAGCTGGTAAGCACGAGAGGTAGCAACTGGGGCTGGACAGGCAGAGAGAAGGGGTAGGGAAGAGGTCCCTGGGATGGGGGAGAACCAGGCCTGGCAAATAACTGAAGGGGAACAGGCAGCACAGCTGGGGGGTGTAATTCAGTAATGTCACATTTTATCACTCTTCCACTAAATACCTGTTAAACATACTGGCAAGGCAATAGCAAAAGGTCCGTTCAGAAGCATGGCCCACTGCTCTTGGCAGTTATGCCTTTGCTCAAGTACAAAGATGTCCCCGAAGAGGACCTTTAAGGTCAAAGTCAGCCATTGAATCCCATGCATATGAAGGAATTTAGTTTTTACCTCATTTGCTTAGAACGAGCTCATGTGCAAGCTCACATTATAAGTGTCCTTGTAATCTTATCCTA